TGAATTTTTAGCATCATTACTCCAGTCACATGATCCTTCAGAAATCATTCTGATATTCTGATTTGCTGCTCAAAAAACATTTATTATTATTATGATGTTGAAAACAGCGGAGTAGAATTTTTTCAGGTTTCTTTGATGAATAGAAAGTTCAAAAAGTTAATGTTGCAAAAGCTTTTTATTTCAAATAAATGCTGACCTTTGGATCTTTCTATTCATCAAAGAATCCTGAAAAAAAACCCTGTTTTAAATATTGATAATAATAATACAAAAATGTTTCTTGAGCAGCAAATCAGCATATTTGAATGATTTCTGAAGGATCATGTGACACTGAAGACTGAAATTAATACTTTTATTCAAGGATGCATTAAATAGATCAAAAGTGACTGTAAAGACTTTTACAGTTACAAATCTATTTCAAACAAACTTTCTTTGAAAAAAATGGTTTCCACAAAAACATTAAGCAGCACAACTGTTTACAACATTGATAATAATAAAACATGTTTCTTGAGCACCAAATCAGCATATCAGAATAATTTCTGAAGGATCATGTCACAAAGTCTTGAGCTGAAAATTCAGCTTTGCCTTCACAAGAATAAATTACATTTAAAAATATATTACAATAGAAAGCAGTTGTTTTAAATTGTAATAATATTTCACAATATTACTGCTTTTGCTGTACTTTGGATCAAATAAATGCAGGCTTGGTGAGCAGAAGAGACTTCTTTAGAAAACATAAAAAAATCTTGCTGTTTAAAAACTTTTGACTGGTAGTGTATTACATATATACAAACACATACACATTTTTGCATTTATATTACTTTTTTTTTTTTTTACTTTATGCATGTAGATTTTAATGCAGTCTGCAATTACCTGCCATGTATAGGGTGTCCATGAAACGTGGCCGACTGGGGGATCTGTGGATAGGACGTGTCTGTTTGGAAGGACTGTGGCTGGTGTTTGAGTGGAGGATGGGGGTGTGAGTTGTGCAGAGAGGATGTGGTACGCCTGCGCTGAGTCTGAGTCCCCTCTTTGCCCTTCCCTCCGTTGGCCGTCTGTCCCAGCGCGTTCCTCAGATACCAGTCTCTCAAACCCTCCAGCGCCAGGGCCTTGTGCAGGCTGCGCGTGGGGTCGTCGGGGGTCGTGGGTGCGGAGGAGTCGAGAGGGTAATGGGGCGGTCTGTGGGGGTGGTCGATCTGCTGGTTATGCGTTGCATTAATGGCAGTACCATTGGAGGTGGTGGTTTCGTTGTAGGCAGAGAGCAGGATGGACTCTTGCTGGTGCTGCTGTAAGGGAACGAACGGGCCGCAGGATTTGGTGCGCGACACTTTGACCCTCCGTGGCTCACCGGGTTTCCCTCTCAGCATTAGAGGGCTGTAGGCCGGAGGGCCATTGCCCAGGATAAGCTGCTGCGATTGGGGAAAGCCATTCCTGTAGGGAGGCGGAGGAGCATTGGGACCGTCGGGCCACGGCCGGGCTTTTGCATTACTTTGCACCTGCAGCCTTTGTTGTTGCTGAGCTTGCATCTTCTGCTGCTTCCCCCACACATAATCCATGAGGATCTCACTGTAACCGACAACTCCGTTCGTTCCTCGACCTCCCGCGGCCGAGCGAACGCGGGCCAGCTCGGCATGCCCGTTTACCTGCCGCTCGGGGCTGCTCCGCTGCGCCTGTTTTAAAGTCTTGTCCATGATGGCTTCCGAGCTCTTGTACGGACCATTGCGTACAGGCATGCCTGACCTTTGACCTCCGTCTTCCGCTGCGGTGCCGTGCCGGTCGAGTAACGTCTCGGAGCTATTGCTACGTCTGTGCCCTTGCTCGTAGGACCCTGAGGACGACCCCTCCTGAGACTGCAGAGGCACCTGCTGGGACACCTCGGGATTGTCTGACCACTGCTTCACAGCAGCGGTGCCGCTAGATGATTCTGACCTACACAAATAAACAAGACATTTAAATGAATACAATTTATTACATTACATTAAAAAATTTAATAAATTAATATTTTTATTCAGCAAGGAATGCATTCAATTAAAGACATGTTAGTAAAGACATAATGTTACCCGTTTTAATTTATAATGTCAACAATAAATTATAATATAATGTTAATGTTTATAATGTTTGAAAAAGATTTCCATTTCAAATAAATGCTGTTCTTTTCGATTTTCTATTCAAAGAATTCAGCTTTGCCATCACAGAATAAATGACATTTTAAAATATATGGAAATAGAAAATTCTTTTAAATTGTAAAAAATATTTCACAATATTACTGTTTTTATTGTATTTTTGATCAAATATATACAGCCTTGGTGAGCATAAGAGACTTCTTTCAAAAACAATATGAATGGTAGTGTACATTTTTTAAAAGCAACAAATGTGACAACCAGAACAGCAAAAACAAAACTCATCATTACATGATGCTAGAGATTAATATTTACAGTTAGGGGGTTGGTAAAATCAGTAATCAGTAGTAACACTTCTAATTAATACATAAATTCAAAAAGCATCAATGAAGCAGCAAGACTGCATTTCTTATTTAAAGGGAGTCCACTCACCCTCATGTTGCTCCAAACCTGTATGACTTTCTTTGTTCTGTGGAACATAAAAGAAGATATCTGAAAGAATGCTGGTAACCAAACAATTTTAGTTCTCAATGACTTCCACTGGACAAAAAATACAATGGAAGTCAATGGGAACCAACATTCTTCCAAATATCTTCTTTTGTGTTCTACAGAACAAAGAAATGCATACGACATGAGGGTGAGCAAATAATGACTGACTTTTTTTTAAGCTAAGCCCAAGTGATGCACTGATTAAATGACAGCCACACAATGCTTTAGTGTATATGCTGATAGCAGTGTCTCCCAGTACCGCGCGGCACAACAAGCTGCTCTGTATGTGTAATTAAATTGAGAAGGAAATAATGGGGCTTTAAACTCAACCTCCTTAGACATCCATTATTTCATTACACATTATTGCAAATAAGTAATTTAATCAAAATGTTTGTGTCATTATCAATTCAAGGCTTTTAACTACAATATAAACCATTAGCTAAGTGTCTACTTGGCATTGATCTGAGTCAGCATTCGAGCTGATGTGTGCAGTGATGTGACATATGTTTGTGTATGTGTGTTTTGCGCATTTGTAACCTGATGTGCACTCCTGCTTTTCCATTGCGGGACAGGAGCGGAGTTGCCGGGACACTTCTACCTTCCAGATTCGACACACTTCTTGGAAGAGAGTGACTCGGGCTGGGAGAAAAATACAAGTAAAGTCTTCTTGTTATGAATCTAGCACACAGTTAACAAACCTGGTTTGTTGTTATATGGTGACGAAGACCATTTTATAAAACTGATGATGAAATAATGTTGTAGTCTTATTATTTTTGTTAAAACAATATTATTTTAATAAAAAAATCACCACTACATTATGATTACAGTATAGTCAACAATGTCTTTTAGCTTAAAACAACAGTTCATCAAAACTTAAAATCTGCTGAACATTTGCTCAAACTCATCTATACCTTAGATGGCCAGAGGGTGTTTTTTTCATTATTTAGCATTACAATGTAGCATTACATCACTTGTTAACCAATGGTTCACCAATGGATCCAATGACCCAATGGGTGCCGTCAGAATGAGAGTCCAAACAGAGGATAAAAACATCACAATAATCCACACAACTCCAGTCCATCAATTATCGGCTTGTGAAGTCAAATGTTTGTCGTGTGGATTACTGTGATGTTTTTATCAGCTGTTTGGACTCTCGTTCTGACGGCACCCATTCACTGCAGAGGATCCATTGGTGAGCAAGTGATGTAATGCTAATTTTCTCCAAATCTGTTCTGATGAAGAAACAAACTCATCTACATCTTGGATGGCCTGAGGGTGAGTAAATGTTCAGCAAATTCTCATTTTTGGGTGAACTATTCCTGCTACGGAGTGGTACAGAGTCTTTATTCTAGAATCAGGTTTTAATTACAAACCACTTAAACTGTTTTTCATCTAAATGAGGTGATTTCAGGCCAGCTTATCAATGCTGATTCACCATAAAGTGGAAAAACAGCTGTTCCTACTTTCTCATGCTGAGCATGAAAGCAAATTGTACTGAGTGTGTACCTGGCTGAGCTGGCCACAGAGTTGCGGCGTGTTTTCATCTCGTAATAGATATCCACAGGGGAGAGTTTTCGAGAAAACCTGTTGTCTGGGCTCCCCGAGACCAGCCGGGGCTGTGAGGGCGACAGGCCGTCAGAGGCGTCTTCTGATGGAGAGAGAAAGAGACTTGTGAGGTTGAGACAGAAGCATGCTTTCTACTTCACAGAGATAAACTTTAAAATACACTACACACTTCAAAGGTGTGGGTCAGTAAGATTTTTGAAAGCAGTTGTTATGCCTCCAAGGCTGCATTTGTTTGATCAAAAATACAGTAAACAGTAATATTGTAAACTATTATTACAATTTAAAATAACTGTTTTCTATTTGAATATATTACAAAATGTAATTTATTTCTGTGATTCAAAGCTGAATTTTCTTCAGTCACATGATCCTTCAGAAATCATTCTAATATGCAGATTTTTTTGCTCAAGAAACATTTCTTATTATTATAAATACTGAAAATGGTTGAAAAACTTTGTAGAAACCACAATATATTTTTGTAGAATTCTTTGATCAACTGAAAGTTCAAAGGAACAGCATTTATTTGAAATAGAAATCTTTTGTAGAAATCTTAATGTGTCCTTTCTGAATAAAATGATTACATTTTGAACAGAATATAATACAGAAGATTTTATAATTTCATTGCATTAAAAAACAAAACAAACCCAGTGTGATCTGTGCTCAAATGCTGCACAAGCTATATTTGTGCTATATTTCTTTATGAATAAAAGCAACTTGGTTTGATATTTTCATGTGTCTTAAGTAAATAGATTTTGGGGCCACTGAACATACACAAGTGCTTTTAAAAGAGGGTACTTATGTATCAATTACAGCAAAATTCATAGTTATAATGCCACACCTTCAGGAACTAAGGACAAACAGTGACTTAATCACTATATTAACTATTTTGTTTTGTCTTCATAACTATTACTGGCATGTATTTCAAATAAGTGCTGTTCTTTTGAACGTTTTATTCTTCAAAGAAATTATCTTTGCATGACATCTAAAATATATAAAAATAGATTTTTTTTTAATTATAATAATATTTTACAATATTACTGTTTTTACCCTATTTTTGTTGTTATTTGTAGTGATGCTTTGGCAATGTTGTGTATAAAACATTTTCAGTATGCCAATAAAACACAACACTTCTTGATCAAAAATTGAGAGAGAAAGAGAGAGCGTGAGAGAATGTGTGAGAATCAAAATTGCCATAGGGAGAGGATTCGTTCAGTGAGTGTTAATAACAGGCTTTTGACTCATTGATGTGAACACTCTAATGACCCCCGCGGGGTCTCTCCGTCCACTCAACTCATCCTGCCATTGTAATAGTGCTTCTTATCTCAGTCTCTCGAATTCATTATCCTGCTAATGTAACGCGCTGATCCGTCCCATAACTCACCAGCATCCTGATTGGTGGAATCAGACGTGGAGCTGCTCTCTGACTTCACCGTGTTATCTGAGGACATAAACATTTACATTATGTAACTCAACTGAACTGATACACACATTACATGAGGTTACATAAACACACTGTATTGGCTCCATGCTGCTGATCATGGATGAGGTTATATTGTTGTTATATTGTAACATTGTCGATGTTATTGTATGTGTTAGATGTACAAAAATGTCCCTGGAAGTCCACTAAATCTGACAAAACCTTCTTTTAGGTTTTCCTCAAATCTAAAAGCAATGTTTTTGTAAAGAATTTCTATAATTATATTTATATTTCTAAAATTGTGGAAATATTTATTCATGATTTTATTCATGATTTACTTGTAAATAATTTTCTATATACACTTGTGGAAATACTTATTTAACATTTTTCAAATATTTTATTTATTATTATTTAAAGGGGTTTGTGGTTACAGTTAGTAGTTATTAAAGTCTATAGATTGTCTAGTGTTATTTTAGTGTCATGGAGATATCGTTTATATTTATTAATATTTGAAATTGTTTTAATTTTTATATTTTCCATTTTTGTAATTTTGTTGTGTGTTTTTGTCATTTCTATTAGTTTTTGTTTAAATAAGTCTATATAGTATAGAGTTTTTAATCAATTAATTATTTTATTTAAGTTTTAGTTTTACTTATTTTAGTTCATCAAGAAAATGAGAAATCCTGCCTTGACAACTAGCTGAAATCAGTTTAAGATTTTTTTGTATTATATTTTATTTTAGTTAAAGTTTATTTCAAATAAGAGATTTTTTGTGTCCTCTTAAGGTGAAAAAAACATGGTTACTATAGTTAAACCATGGTAACCACAAATTAACCATGGTTTTACAACAATAAGCTTAATTTTACCATGGCATTTGTTGTAAAACTGAAAAAAAAAAACATGGTTAGCCTACTACCGAAGAACCCGCACCGAAGTCTGATCTGAATTAAAAGATTTGCGAATCTGCTCCTAAATTCCGATCTAAATCAAATTATTCCCGATCCGAGCTCCGCAGTCCCGATCTGAATAATGATTTGCAAACCATCATTTCAGATCAGGACTTTGGAGCACATATCGTGAATCATTCAATTCGCGAAATGATTCGTGAACCTGCTCCAAAGTTCCAATCTGAATCAAAAGATTCACAAACCCGCTCCGAAGTTCGTCTGATCTAAATTAAATGATTTGCGATCCGAAGTTCCGATATGAATCAAAAAATTTGTGAACCTGCTCCAAAGTTCCGATCTAAACCAAATGATTTGCAATCCACGCTCCACAGTCCCGATCTGAATAATGATTCGCAAACCATAATTTCAGATCAGGACTTTGGAGCACATATCGTGAATCATTCAATTCGCGAAATGATTCGTGAACCCGCTCCGAAGTTCCAATCTGAATCAAAAGATTCACAAACCCGCTCCGAAGTTATCAAAAGATTCACAAACCCGCTCCAGAGTTTTGATCTAAATCAAATGATTCGTGAAACGCGTGAAACGCGCCCGATCTGAAACTTTTGTGACGCAATAGTTTAACTGATTCAGAGTTTCGAAACGCTCAGTTTCACTCATTACAATACTTGTTTGTTTTTTTCAATTACACGCGATGTTGCAATTCGAAAATGAATGAACCTACATAGAACGTCTGATCTAAATTAAATGATTTGCGATCCGAAGTTCCGATATGAATCAAAAAATTTGTGAACCTGCTCCAAAGTTCCGATCTAAACCAAATGATTTGCAATCCACGCTCCACAGTCCCGATCTGAATAATGATTCGCAAACCATAATTTCAGATCAGGACTTTGGAGCACATATCGTGAATCATTCAATTCGCGAAATGATTCGTGAACCCGCTCCGAAGTTCCAATCTGAATCAAAAGATTCACAAACCCGCTCCGAAGTTCGTCTGATCTAAATTAAATGATTTGCGATCCGAAGTTCCGATATGAATCAAAAAATTTGTGAACCTGCTCCAAAGTTCCGATCTAAACCAAATGATTTGCAATCCACGCTCCGTAGTCCAGATCTTAATAATGATTCGCGAACCATAATCGCGATCTCGAATCATTCAATTTACGAAATGATTTGCAAACCTGCTCCCAAGTTCTGATCTGAATCAAAAGATTCACAAACCCGCTCCAGAGTTTTGATCTAAATCAAATGATTCGTGAAACGCGCTTTGAAGTCCCGATCTGAAACTTTTGTGACGCAATAGTTTAACTGATTCAGAGTTTCGAAACGCTCAGTTTCACTCATTACAATACTTGTTTGTTTTTTTCAATTACACGCGATGTTGCAATTCGAAAATGAATGAACCTACATAGAAGATTAATCTACATAGAGTGATAGTCAATGTAAAAAGAGCAAATGGGAAAAGCAGATGAAAACAAAACAGCATAACAACATAAAGTTAGAGGGTAAACTTTATCATTCAACTGAACTGTGCACGTATGTTTTAGCCACTTCGGCCCATGTATTAAATGTGCATCCTTGACGGTGTGCAGTTTTCTAGCGTATTTCTTTAAAGGCACAATATGTACGAACCGCGCCCTCCAGTGGCGAAAATGACATATTGTGCCTTTAACTCCTCAGCCAATGTCAGTGGTATGACCTATTTAAGATGTGTCTGAAATTACAACAACAATGGTTACATACACATGTATTTAATTGTTTAATCAAATTTATTGCTTGAGACAATTTAGTGGCTGGATATTGGTAGGGACATGTCCCTAGCATCCCTAGTAAATTCTATGCCCTTGGTTTTAGTTGTAGTTTTAGCTAACTATAATAACCCTGGTTTGTCCTTATCCAGACAGCTACATAAACTTCCTCAACACTTCCTGTTACACAACCAACACATCTCACGTGTCTCATTTAAGGCAGACTGTTTTACATGTTTGCACACGAGAAAACCTACTCTTCTAAATTTATACCACATACGCAAACACGCAAACACATTCAAGTGTTCCCACGGTTCAGAGCCAGACCGCCAGCTTGACACTAAATTGGTCTGATTCACTGTAAACCAGTCTTCATCCATTCTCTATTTACCAAAGTCTAAGTCACGTGAGTTTAGCACTACATATGAAGAATCTTTGTGAGCTTTAATCAATGTTATCTTTAATCTGATCTCTATAACCTTTGCTTATTTTGATCTGTAGACCTCAGTGTCTCAGTGTGATGTCAGTTATCCTCATTACATCAACTTTTTTACAGCTGGGTTGCTCAGTTTGACCATGGACTAAAACACTGCTTAGGGCTGAGACAAACATTGATTTGTCAATTAGGTGAGCAGCTAGTATAAATGATACATTTTAAAGTGTTTAACAGGTTTAATGGACACAAAATAACCATCCACAATAAGTTTTAAACTGCTTTTTTTTTTTTTTTTATTATACAGTCAACTCAAACATCACTGCTCAAAAGCTTGGGGTCTATTTTTGAAAGAAATTAATACTTTTATTTAGCAGGGATGCATTAAATTGGTCAAAAGTGACAGTAAAGACATTTATGATGTTACAAAAGATTTCTATTTCCAACAAATTTCAACATTGATAATAATAGTAAATGTTTCTTGAGCAGCAAATCAGCATTTTAGAATGATTTCTGAAGGATCATGTGACACTGGAGACTAGAGTAATGATGCTGAAAATTCAGCTTTGTATCACAGAAATAAATTACATTTTACAATATATTCAAATAGAAAATACTTATTTAAAATTCTAATAATATTTCATAATATCACTGTTTTTACTGTATTTTTTTTATAAATGCATGCAGCCTTGGTGAGCATAAGAGACTGCTTTCAAAAGCCTTCAAAAATCTTCTAGACCCCAAACTTTTGAACGGTAGTGTATACTGTATACATAAATAAAATAATCCAAAACATCAATTTTGGCCATGAAATGGTGTTTAGTTCATCTGTATAATCTTGAAACCCACCTGTGTGGCATCCTCTATGAACCGGTCGTTTGCTGTGTGGAGGATGGTGTTCTGAATCGACGTGCCTGCGGAGGGCGCCACTGAACAGAGTGTTCTTTGTCTTGCGCTGAGAGACGTCCTCTTCCTAAGCCAGCACAAACATTGAGCAACTTATAATATTTATCTATCACGTATCTGATATCAAATTAGTGGCCACCCATATCATCTCAAATGCACACACCTCATTTTTGGTGTTATGTTTGGATCCGCTGCGGGACAGACCAGCCCTGCGCCGCACATGAGGGAGCTTCTCTCCGGTTTCCAGAGCATATTCATGAGGAACTTCACCTGTCAATTCCTGACAAAATGAATGAAGAACAAACATGAATAAGTTCATTTTTCCTTAAAACTATTTAATTTTTATTTTTAATTTTTAAAGCAGACATATCCACTTTTGTAGAATATTATATTTATAATCATTTAGTCAAGTTTTCACACCAAAAAAGTCAATATTTAAATTTCCATGCTTATTTTTTCACCCTTAGAATTAATTGCTGCTATATCGTATATAGGAGCTCGGTTATGATTGGCTAACATTTTTGCATATGAAATGAATTACGATATTTCTGGTAAGTTGCTGAATACTAAATACAATAGATGTTGATGTGCACGAACTGTTGGGCATATGTTAACGTGGTTGTAACGTTGTTAGCAGCTCAGTTTTTCAGCTAAATATTCATAAATGGTCTTGTGAGGGAGATTTGCGTTGTGAATGTTAAGAGTATGTCACATGTACATTATTTCAAAAGAGAACCACAACCACTCTTTTCTACGATATGACTCAAAGCACACACATCTGAAGTAACACATGCTGTGTAAAACCAGCATTTCAAAAGCCAAGCTTGTTGAGATACAAGTATTAGCAAAGATTAGCTGGGCATATGGCGGCATCTCTGCGGCGTCACATGATCTGGCAGCTCACCGATGTGTGGTTCGCCAGTGACACCATGAAGAAATACAAAGTTTATCATGTCAAGTTTCTTGTTCTAGTTCTTCATAAATAGAACAAGTTCTGAGAAACGACTTCATTAAATTCTGATTTCTTTTTCGACACTGACCGCCTCCTGCAGACAGACGCGTTTGAGTTCTGCTATTCGAGTGTTGAGCAGCGACTGCAGACTCCTCCGGCGCTCGTGCAGCTCCACCATCCGCTCCGCACGCTGCTTACTGTCCATAGCGGCCTGCAGCTCTGTGAGAAACACACACACATCATGTTATATATCATGGAAGGGACCTCAAATCGACTTATTTTAAAGTTTTTTAAAATATCCTCTTCTGCTCACCAAGGCTGCATTGATTTGATCAAAAATATAGTAAAAACCAATCAAATTAAACAATACAATAAAGCAATAAAAATAATAGCTTTCCATTTGAATGTATTTTAAAATGTAATTTATTCTTGCAAAGCTGAATTTTCAGCATCATTACTCCAGTCTTCAGTGTCACATGATCCTTCAGAAATCAATCTTACGAACTAAATTCTTACTGACCCCAAACTTTTGAACTGCAGTGTGCAGGTTCTAATTTTTAATAGCAATTAAAGATAATAAATAAATGAATAAATAATTTAAAAAAACATTTCCTCTATTTTCCGACTGTCAGGATTGTCTTAATAATAATTTGTTTAAAATAAAGTATTTTAAGTAGTTCTTAAATTCTTGCCAAGAAATCATGCATAACTGAGAAAGACATGAAAAACATACCCTTAACCTTTCCTTTTTGGATAGGTCTTGGCCTTTTTTACATGTAAAATATTTAAAGATTTAAAGGTACATTTCTGCAACATTTGCATCACCAAATGGCAAATGCAAACTGCAGTTTCCAGTTTAATAATATTTAGTCCCTTCATGAAGATGTCCTTCTCTTAGAAACCTCCTTTAAAATGTCCCCACAGTAAGGTTTTGTGAGGTCTATGTGAGAACACTTGGTCGCCACAATACACAAAAACAAAACACACAAGCTTGTCAGACTAACAATTTACAAAGTACAGGTATTATGTAGAAAGACAAGTTCTTATCAACAAACAAACACACACAGACACATGGAGGTGCTCACCAGGGCCTGTTATCAGGTGACCTTTGACCTCCATGTCATACGTCTTTTGCGTCACCTCACTGCCTCCTGATTGTAAGTTTACCTACAGAGCCATGAAGAAAACAAACAAAACATGACAATGACAAATCTTTCTGGCAGCAGACTCAGCTGGAGTCTATTAAAACCATACAAGCGTGTAAATAGTTGAAACGTTTCTTACCTTCTCACCTTTTGGTAACAGTCATATGTACTGCAGAGGTTTGGACTTGTGGCCATGAAGCAGATTTGCGGCTGGGTGATGCTCCAGTACTGCAGGGGGGAGCCACTGTGCTGCTGTGCAACGCTTCACAAACTCAATGCCCTGAAACATAAAACAAACCACATGACACACTGTAGACCATCCACACATAAGAGTTCTGATCTAGAGACAGGCTTTGAAGACAAAATCTCAGACTGACTACAAAGTTGCACTTAAAGTGCCCCTATTATGGGTAATGAAAGGTTCATATTTTGGTTTTGGGAGTCCCCAACAACAGGTTGACATGCATGCAAGGTCAAAAAACACTTTCATTGTCTTATAATATGCATTTATTTTACCTTACGCTCAACGATTAATTTTTCCAAACCCCTCCTTTGCGTGAGGCTAATCTGCGGTGATTGGTCCGATTGGTCTCATTTTCATTTCATCATGCCTGTAATGCCTGATAAAGCAGCGTTTGTAAGCGCAGTGCTGCTTTGTGTACAGCGTTACTGGGGAAACCGCTATTTTACTGCTCCAACAGCGGCACCTAGTGGCAAAGAATGAATTTGCATTCAGACCAATGCGAAAAGACCAACAAGTGGGCGGGCAATATGCTAATGTTTCATGTTGAGGTCAACATGAAACGGCTTGGGATTCATTTTAAAAACGATTCGTTTCAATGATTCTTAGTCGACTCTTTCTTTTGAGAGACAATAACTTTATACATGGTGCACTTTCAGATTTAAAACTTTCCAGGATGTTTTCATTCACTTAGAGCTGTGTTACACACTGCATGAAAGGTAATTTTCAAAAATCCATAATAGGGGCACTTTAATTTAACTGATAGAACAGGTGAGTTTTAGGAGATATAACTGATTTATCAACTCAGAAAATTCCTTAGGAGAATAAAAATTAGATATAAATGAGAGCCTTTTTGACACAATTTTGAGTACAGAGCTATAAAATTAAACGAATAGCAGCTCAGATCATTTGGTCTTGGAGGAATTTGATGAGAAATGTTTGCGTTCAGATCTCTGACCTTTGATTACTCTGAAGTTCTCTGAAGTTTTAGTATCTTGGCAAAAATTTGAGACACTGAGATCTCTTTAAAATAAACATTTGCAAGTCTTTATAAAATGAAAACAATCTGAGACATCATTAAAAGTCTCAATCTATGAGAAACAACTGAGATATTAAAAAGCTTGCAGTGTTCATGGAGGTAACCAAAGATTTTAAAGCTTTCTCGGGTTCACAAAATTAAAGATGTTTCTTTAGAGCCTTCAATACATTGTAGTTATTATTAACTGAAATGAAAACTATTAAAAAAAATAAAAGAATCAAAAAGCCTATACACACACACACATACAGTATATGTAGA